ATCATTTGGTATTCAGCCATCAAATGAAGCATCTTCTGCTATCAATTCTCCTAATGAAGCCATCTGTCAAGAAGTACCTGCAGGAATTCATAAAGGCTCAAAAGCTCAATCTGGAGACAAATGATTATTTCAATCTTGATTATCTTGATAAAGATTGAGCTTAAGGTGTGTGAAATAAAACATTACCTTTGATTCTGTTCAGCTTTTGCTTCATGACAATATCTTTTCTCCACAAACTTGGGAAGCTTCTTTTGAATTGTGCTCGAAAAACATTCAATGTGATTTTGGAAATTGGAAATTCTAACAATTTAGAATGGTTTTTATATTGTTTTAGGATGATAATTTACAAGTAGTCCTTGATTTACAACCACAATTGAGCCCAAAATTTCCATTGCTAAGCAATGACTTTTTTTTTTGCTACAGTTGTTAATCGGATTACTGCAGTTGTTAAGTAAAACATGCAATCTTTAAACGAATGTGGCATTGACTTTGCTTGTCAGAAGCCAGCTGGGAAGGTTAATGTGATCACATGACCCTGGGACAGTGCAACTCTCATCAATATATGCCAATTGACAAGTGCCCAAATTTTGATCATGTGACCGTGAGGATGCTGCAATCGTTGTAAGTGTGAAAACTGGCCATAAGTCACATTTTTAATGACATTGTAACTTTGAACAGTCACTAAACGAATGGTTGTAAGTTGCAGGCTACCTTAGTCATTTTTGAATGCTTTGGAATTCCACCTAAAACAGAGGTGAAAAAGAGAAAAATTAACTTACTGTTTTCTCTAATTCTATTTCATAATGTATGTTAATATTTTGCAAATTTAAAAAATGTATTTGAATATATCACTTTTTATTTTTTTAATAACATTTAGTTACTACATTCAAGAAAATGTATAGCCTATTGGTTGCCTTTGTTCTGATGCACATGTAGGCCCAAGAGGCTTGGATTCAGTAGCAATTTTAAAAGTTAGATCTCCATATGCATTGTTTAAGAATAGAAACCATGTACTTTACGATGGTTGTTCCATCTCCTACCACAAATATCTAGTTTCTATATTACTGTTATAAAACAAACATGTTCTAATGAGTCACTGGTTTCTTACACTTACAAAAAAACTCCAAAGAGCAATGGCCAATGTTACATAGTTCTTATATAAGAGACCGCCCAAAAGCAATCTAAGCACAAGTGCACATCTACTGATCCTATTAGAAGAGAGAATTGCAATAGAGATAGAAACAAAACAACACCAAGGAGACAGCTATATCATCTGAAAGTGGAGAAGACACCCTGGCTCCTTCTTTTGAAAATGCAGAATTTCTACAGTTCTTTGATATTCAAGGGTACCAAACTGCTGTTGTTCAAATAAGCTGACCCTGCATCCTTTGGGGGGAAAGAACGTTGATACCAATGCAGATAATCATCATCTTTGAGCAAATAGTTCAGAAACCTCAACTGTGAGAATGATATTTATTAGGCATAGCTGCTTCTGGAATGTTGTTTTCAACCTCCATTAAAAGATAATTTATCAGCTCTGAGCTCAGAATCTACATGGCATTTTGCTTATATACTTATTATATTTCCTACCTTCCTTGTCTGCCACTCTAATGGAATAGAATTTTTTTTAGGAATATATTTGAATAGTACTGGACATAAGACATTGAAGCATTAATTGAGCTACTGACCACTTTTGTGGCAAAACAAGGAGAGCCTAAAGAATGGTGGAGGTACAGTCCCCCTTAATAGAGTTACTCAAATTAGAACATATATGTGATTGGATGAAACAATGAGGCATTTCATTGGACATAACATACTACATGCCTTATGAAGTCAGTGAGATCAGTGTGACTATGACATAATGGGACAAGACTTCAAAGATAAGGATTTGAACAAAGATGTTTACAGTTAGAGGGTTATGATCTTCAGCAGGGATGGCATGCTCAAATGTGGATGGGGCAAAGCAGAAATCACCAATACTTCTTAAGACACAAGGTTCGGCAAGGATTAATAAAAAGCTGGAATACAGTTAAACATCAATATTATACAAAGATTCCAGCCTGGTTATCGCCACTGGAGGCAGTTACATACTCCAATCTGTTTAGGAAAGACAAGGTTATTACTTATAAAGACATTCTGACAGAAGAGGGTTATTTAAAATCAAAACAAGAGTTAAGAAAACAAGGAATAGACATAGAGTGGTGGTCTTACCTCCAGATTCAAGCAAGATACATGAAAGATAAGCAAGAATGGGGTATTAATAGACAAGATATGGGGCTAGATAAAATATTGCTAGGCCCGGAGGAAAAACAAAGAATATTTATAAACACTTATTGGAGTATAGACTATTTGAAGAACAGGTCAAAGAAACAATGGTGACATGGGCGATAGATCTAGGACATAATATTTATTTGGATCAATGGCAGCAGGTATGGATGCGAAACAATAAAATCACATTGGCATCAACATATAAAGAGAATTTGTATAAGATGGTTTACAGATGGCATCTCCTTCCAGCCAGATTAGCCAAAATGTATAACGGATATTCATCTATGTGTTGGAAATGTAAAAAAGAAAGGGGCACTTTTTTCATGTTTGGTGGACATGTAGAAAAGCACAGGTGTATTGGCGTATGATCTGGGAATGCGCAATAGAAATGACTATGCAAAACATTCAGTATAAACCTGAGACATTGCTGTTAGGAATACTTGAAAAAAATGTAAGTAAAGATGACACATATTTATTCATTCACGTGGTTACAGCAGCAAGGATATTATTTGCTCAAAAATGGAAAGCTACGGCTGTACCAAGTGGGGAAACATTAATTCAGAAAATCATGTATTGCGCAGAATTAGACAGGATAACTAAAAGATTAAAAAATCAGGATGAAACAGACTTTTATCAAATATGGAATAAATTTTATAGATGGTGGGGAAAAAATGGAGGTCATTGTAATGAGATAAGTCAAGATTGAGATTAGAATGATGTTACTGTAAAGAGATTTATTTATAATTAATGTAAATATGGACTGAGATGTCTGTCAAATGTTGATTTACCATGTTCAATGTTTTTAATTCCTTTTTTTATTCAATAAAATAAAAAAAAAGATAAGGATTTGAAAGAAAGGCAGTTAGTCCATAGTGGCTTTCAGAGAATTACTTTCTTTAGCTTTTGTAGAGCTCTGCTTATTCCCAGTGTCTTTTCCCAAGTTATTCAGCATTTCTTGGTTTCTTAACTGTTCTGTGGCTAAACTAACAGTGTAATTTTCCTGGGAAAGTCTTTTTGTAATAGAATAGTTGCCTGTTTTGATGCCATATATCGGAGCCAATGTTTTCTTTTATTTATTTATTTATTTATTTATATACCGCTTTAAGTGCAAGCACTCTCTAAGCGGTGTACACCAGTAAGCAATGTATATATATATTTACATTGTCCCCAACAATCTGGGTCCTCATTTTACCTACCCCGGAAGGATGGAAGGCTGAGTCAACCTTGAGCTGGTGAGATTTGAACCGCTGACCTGTTGAACACAGTCAGCTAAAGTGGCCTGCAGTACTGCACTCTAACTGCTGCGCCACCTCGGCTCATTTTCCCTGATAAGATAAATGTGGGTTAAGAGTTTTTAACTTAGTTCTCCAAACCCCCTACAATGGACATACAGTTTGCAGACTCAAATTTGATCAAATGCAGCAAACCTGCTACATACCATGCTTTTCAGAATACAGCCTAAGATTCTACATTATATTCTGCTAGGTAACCATGTAGCATTTTTTTTCCATTTTGTTTTTTGCCTTATGTAATGAATTAGCTGCCCACAGCTTTTCAGATAGAATCAAGATGGTTGGTCGTCTTCTGTCAGCATTGAATTTTTCCCCCATTCCTCTTCTGCTATGGCACCATATAGTTCTTCTACTCATTGCTATTTTTATTTGGATTAATGTCATGGGCGGTCCTAGCCAACTGAGGATCACACTGTGAGTGAGGAGGATGTTATGATACAGTTAATGAATTTGGGGTGCATAGTTTTTTGTGAATAAATTGTGATTTTTCAGGGTCTTTGATTAATTACGTATGCATCCTATGAAGCCACATAGAGGGACTCAAAGCAGATTCAAAAAGCTGCATGTGTGCTTCTAAGCTTCTAAGCTGTGCTTCAAAAGTGCTACTAAATGTTCAAGCCTCATCCTTGAAATTTATGCAAGGGTTGTAAGGGAGAGTGTACATTTTAGAGAGGACCTGGGGTCAGCTTCCTGACAAATGAAACTTTCTCCAGGTTAGGCAAAGGATTATTACCATCTTCTGTTCCCGGAGGTGAGTAACTAAAAGTATCAGATCTAGTTTAAGGTAGAATTATTTGTGCTGTTGCTTATTACTAAAAACATCAGATTCAGCAGCCTAAGCATATAATCCTTATTCTTTAATTATGTTTATAGGGAGCATCTTTAGAAAACTCTGGCCTTTGTTTTCCACCAATGTCTTGAAGAAAAATCATGTTTACCAACAGGGTATTCTAGAAGGAGTATTGAAGTACCTTTCAAGAAAATAAATTTGAATACATGGAATGGCCTGCTGTGATATCTTCCAACAATACATAAATTTATGTTTAGGCTCAGTCATAGAAAAATCATTCAGGGATGTAAATTCAGATATATTTTGGTTCAGACATGTAATTTCTTTAGAAAAATGTTGAAGTGCATGAGAAAAATAATTTGGATTAACTGCAAGTTGTAATTGCATAGTTATCTGAAACATGATGATTAAAAACTACTCAGCATAAGTAAAACTCAATAGCTGTTGAATGACAAGATTTTTCTTGTTTTAGTGCTCTGGAAATAGTTTGTCACTGCATACTTCCAGAATGTTTTTAGCTGACATGAAACGTCCAGATGGTTCCTTATCCAAGCACTAAAATTGCTCCATAGCACAATAGTCTTCAAAAATCTATTTGCCTCTTCTCCCACCTACCTTTGTTCTAATGTGTTTCTTCTTTTGTTCAAAAGGTTTTCCTCAAGAGTGACCGAGTTGCTAGAATGGTCCACTGTGGCGGATGCTCAGCAAATGATTTCAGAGATATTTTTAAGAAGAACATAGAAAAAAGAGTCCGGAGCTTGCCTGAGATAGATGGATTAAGCAAAGAGACTGTGCTAAGTTCTTGGATAGCCAAATATGATGCTATTTACAGGGGAGAAGAGGATCTGTACAAACAGTCCAACAGGATGGCTTTAAGTGCTGTATCTGAACTCATCTTAAGCAAAGAACAACTATATGAGATGTTCCAGCAGATTCTAGGCGTAAAGAAATTGGAGCATCAATTAATCTATAATGCCTGTCAAGTAAGTAATTCATCTCAGTTCACCTGTATTCATGGAATGTTCCATTCATCTCCTCTTATTAGATGTCCAGTTCACAAGATCTTTTTCTCTACCTGTTATATACATCAGAAAGATGTTTACTTTTCTTGTAGAATTTGCATTGGGAGAGCTTTGGACCGCAGAACTGAAAAATAATAAATACTCAAGGGCAATGAAGTTTACCCTTCCTTGAAAGCCAGTCATTTTTGTTGTAATGATTAGTCCCCTATTCCCTGTTTGCCCATATGCTGGGCTTTTGCAGGAGGTACAAGCAGCTGTAATTTCCTGCCCAATTCTAGTTGTGCAGAAGGGAAACAGATTTTCTTTTCTTTTCTTTTTTTTTCTTCACAAAGGGCAAAGAAAGCTGAATATTTCCTCCATATAGAAACCTAGTACAAAAGAAAGACTCATTTTTTTTTCCTTTTTCCCTATCATCTTTTCCCCCTGTGGTTTCTCTCCTGTCATTATGGCTTGGGCTAGAAGTACACATGCATAAAAGAAACTATAGAATTCAATACAGTAGCGCTGTGAGTAGCTGCAGCTCATTATAAATATGTCTGTTTACTGCTCTTGAAATTCTCATTCTTCAGCAATGGCCATTAATTGTGGATCAGTCATATTGGATGACTTCATACTTATTGGTAGGTGATATTACTGTGCTTCTTGCATTGTTCAGTCTTCTAACATCATTTCATAGCAACATTTTTTCTTTCTGTTTCTTGAGTGTGCTCATATAAATGCATCTATCAAAGACATATGAATGCATCTATCACTTAAGGTAATCACTTTGTGCATTTGAAGGAGAGCTTTCTGGCTCATTTTATTTACTTATTCATCCATCCATCCCCAAGGGCTGCAAATTGTTTGTTGACAGGTAGGAGGAATGTGTGTGTGTGGTTTATTCCATTGTGTTTATTATTGGAGAATATTATGTAAAAATAAGAAAACATTGAGAATTGATATTATATGATGAATAGTGTGTATTTTCTCTTTTGGCTTGAATAATATTGTCCTTGAAAATTGCAAATGAGAGTTTCTGCTTCAAGGCTATCATTTAAACAAAACCTTAAAGTTAATCAAGAACAGATCTGCCATATATTCAGGGACAACCTAGTTTCCCCATTATCTGAGATTTTTTATTTTTATTTTTGGTGTGTAGAATTGTAACACAGCATTCATTCCTGGTAAATGTTTTATAGCAAATAAATCTGTAGTAATTTATCCATTACTGCTGGTGAGGTACTGATAAAACTTTCTTGACACATAGTTGGCCTAGCTACCTCATGTATTTCTCTCATACACCCTTCATTGAACATGAATGCAAATATTTTATAAACATCCACACCCTTAAAAATGTTTAGGATCCTATTGTTTCAAAATGCCCCAAATAATCACTGGCCCTTGTTCAGCTGTCTTATAGTTACATTGTAACATTGATATTTCAGTAATATAATAAAGAAAACAATCAGCTATTTGCATCAGTCTTAATTGTTAAATGTCAGTTACACGACATTCATTTATAAAAGAATCGCTGGTAGATAACAACACACTTGGGTATCTGTTAGAAAGTCGGCAATTATAGGAAAACAAAGAGGAGTATTTAAAGCTGCACCACTCCAATTGTCTATACAAGTAGTCCTTGACTTACAACCATTCATTTAGTGATCGTTCAATGTTGAAAAAAATGACTTATGACCAGTTTTCACACTTTTGACCATTGCAGCATCCCCATAGTCATGTGATCAAAATTCAGGTGCTTGGCAACTGGCATGTATTTCTGACAGTTGAACTGTCCCAGGGTCATGTGATCATCATTTGTAACTTTTCCAGCTGGCTTCTGACAAGTCAATGGGAGAAGTCAGATTCGCTTAATAATATTACATGATTTGCTTAACAACTGCAGTGATTCACTTAACAACTATGGCAAAAAGGTCATAAAATGAAGGCACAACTCATTAACAAACTGTCTTGCTTAACAACAGAAATTTTGAGGTCAGTTATGGTGATAAATTGAGGACCATCTGTAGTGCAAAATGCTAGATTTTTCTGCCTAAACAGATTATCCCCATTATGAAAATAAGCCAGATGCAAAGAAAATAAATATAAGCTGATGACTCTAGGATTCTAATCATTCGGGGAAATGATGCTACAATTATTTTACCTTAAAATATTTGGTTGAAAGCAGTCCAGGTTCAACAGTCTCCAAACTATATAACACTCATTTCTGCAAAAGAGTAGTGTACTTACTTATCTGCCTCCTACCTGACTTTACTTCAACGGTATAAATCTGTGTGTTCCTCCAAGTCAATCTGCTTGCATATATGCTTGGCTAGCTAAAACCAAATATTGACTTATTGCACAATATGAAATTTGCCAAGTGTCAAAAGGAATGAAGTCACATGCTGCTTCTGTCTGTAATTGAGTATCATGCAATTCCATCTTCTGCTTTCTGAAATAACTGCTTTGCTCTTTTTGAGTAATAGCTTTTTCACAAAAAGTGTGAACATAACTCCTGTACTTACTGTTAAGTGCATATAGTCTGAATAAAGTAGAATTTTTTTAAAAAAATCTGAAAGTGAGTTCCTAATGTAGCAGTATTAGGATAAATTCTCTTCAAATTACAATTTATTAATGCTTTTTAGGAGGTTGTTAAAGAAAAAGTCAATTTTTAATAAGAATGCTACAGTTTTTTTAGAATTTCATCTCCTCTTCTTTTTTAAAAAAACCCTTTTTACAACCTACCCACATGTTTTTTAGTGCAGTTATTTAGCTTGAATCTGAAGTCAGCTTTTTTACATTATGCCCATTTTCTGATCAAGCAGAACTTGCAATTTTGGAATAAAATGTTTTATATTGATGACACCTACAAATTGTTATGGGAATATCTCATGACAAAAACTCCACAATTCCCAAAGATAAATTGTAGAATAGACTTTCATGAAAGGAATTAGACTGTCTGGTTCCATTTTTGTTTGGTGAAAATTTAATTTTCTTTTTCTACATGTTGAAAACTCATAGGGAGAAAAAGCCTTAATCTGCAAAGCTATTTATTTCTGACAAAATAAAGCACCTAAGTTATAGGAATGGCTGTTCTTGGATATTTCACAAACTGGTGTAGCATTAGAATATCCTGGTGTGATTCATATTAGATTCATGGAAATGCTTATAGTCATTGGTTACTGAGGGATGTTTATAATTTTCATTGTTAGAACCATACCTATTATTCGTTCATTTATATATATGCATGGCTTTTCAAATCAGAATATTTACAAATGAATATGCAAACCTTGTTTTCAAGAGAGGAGTATTAGTTCAATTTGGCAATTATGAACATTATTAGGGGTTGTATGTATGTATGTATGTATGCGATTAAAAAGGTTAAAAATATGAACCCTTGGAATATTCATACTGAAAATATAAAATGAGCACCAGGGTAATAAAAACTATAAAAGTTTTTAATAAATTAAAACTATAAAAGTTTTAAAAAAGCGCCAAGCTTTCGCCGTCACCTGCCGGCATCCTCAGGGCTGGCGCGCCAGAGAATGAGAAGGTCTTTTATAGGCGTGTCGAGGTCTGCGCCCGGCTCTTCGATCTTGTTATCGGGCCTAATTGGTTCAGCCGTGTGCAATTAACCTGTGCTTCTTTTCTCTTTTTGGTTGCATTTTTATCCTCATCCGTCTCCAATTCTCCCAACTCCGGATTAGCTAGATGGCAATTGCAGTTATTTCGGTTGCCTTTATATTCTAACCTCCCCTTAGGCTCAGGTGGTAGTGCACATTCCACATTCCTTTCTCCACCATATCTTGTCCAGTTGTTACTTTTAGGATCATATTCATTTCCGGTCTCAATACTTTCATTTTTAATGTGTCCATCATCCTGATGATCTCATAAGTTGCTACGGGTTCGGTGCAGCATGGGGGGGTGTTCCGCAAGGTGGAGGGATCGTCTCTTATTAGTTGTCGTGCCCAGCTGTCCTGCGCGTGTCCTACTCCGGGTGCCCGGTCCAGGGGGTGTGTGCACAGCAATCAAGCCGCGTCCCTCCTGGTTGCAGCACTCTTCCTCAGTTCTCCCCTTTTTTACATTATTAAGAGCATTCGCTTGTATTCCATGGGAGTCCTCAGGACCATCAGGTAGGGGTGTGACGGCTCGATCTTCCGTAACCTGCCGCTCTCCGATCTTCCCTCCTCCTCTATAACGGTGTGCGAGGGTTCTTCGTCAACCACCCCCCGTGGTTTATCCTTATTAGAGCTAATCGCTCCGGCTGCATGAGGGGTTCTTCTCCTCCTTTCCGGATCAGCCGTGATATTTCTTTTGATGTGTGGGCGGGCCGTTGCGTTTGGCGATTCATCCGCACTTCCACCTGCCGTATCTTCTCTCGTCTCCTCTTTGCTGCCAGGGGGCCGGATCCACATCATGAGCCACAGACGCCAACAAATGTTATCGGCAGAGGAAAGGGTGGCTTTAAGCCAACTTAGAAAAGATGACACCATTGTCATCCTCCCAGCCGATAAGGGGAGGGCAACTGTTGTTTTAGCCAAAGAGGCATATGTAAGAAAGGCATTGGATTTACTCCAAGACGGTGCTGCCTATAGAGTGGTTAGTAAAGATCCCTCCACCACGTTGAGAAACCGTACTAACAAGCTCCTAGATGACCTAAAACGTAAGGGGAGGATGGGGGAAGAAGCGCTAAGAAAGATCCGCCCTGGTGACTCAGCACTCGCCAGATTTTATGGCTTACCTAAGATACATAAGCCCAATGTCCCCCTCCGCCCCATTGTAGCATTTAGGGGTACCCCCATCTCTGAACTTGCCAAGTGGCTGAGCGTACGCATTGGCCACTTGGCAAGTAACAGCAACACCACCGTAAGATCGGCAGAAGAATTCCTCAACAGAATTAAAACCCTGAAGGTAGAAGAAGATGAGCTCATGGTCTCCTTTGATGTAATTTCTCTATTCACTTCCATCCCGCAAGAACTTGCGGT